ATATATTTCATCGCAGAAAAGATGGTGTTTAAGGCTACAAACTTGTAACGAGGAGTAAATAAGCCATGGAGATCTAGTGCACAGTGTAGCGCATGCAGTCAACAACACTGCACTATAATGATGCGATGTGATAGATATTGCTTCAGTGGCAACCATAAGCCGATATACAAACACATCGGAGTAACACGCTGTGCACCTTAAATTTACAAATTGTAACATCTCAAATTTATCAAATAAAAATAAATTAGTATTTTAATCATGGGGATTAAATATAACATTCTATTAATGAATGTGGATTCTGGGTGGAAAATATAATATTTCTTTCAAGTATAAGCATTATTTAGAATATGTCAAGTGCCACAGGGCCTTCTTATTCTTTAAGGCAGTGTTTCTCCAGAAAAGGTCAAAGACGATGACGACAGATAATTTGAACAAAAGGCAAACACCGTGTGAAGCCTGGTTGGCCGCTCTCTCTTTGTTTCTTTCCACGCCCTCTGGCTTCCACACCCGCACATTCTCCTGTTATCCTCCATCACTCTGGCAACTTCTCGTTACCATTGACTCATTACCATTGCTAGCGCTTTCTCCTCAAATGAGCCCTCACCATCATGTGAGGCGTTGCTCAGGACTTGGTTTTACTTGGTTCTCTCCTCAGTTTCTACCCTTTCCCTAAACATTCTCATATGTGCCCACGGTTTCAATTCCCATTTGCATCAGAGATGCTCGAAGTGTGGTATCAGAATCACGGGAAGGGGAGTGTTAAAATCCAGATTCCTTGGCTCTATCCAAGGCCTACCCAATCGACTCTGTGGGTGGGCACTGGCAATCTGCATTTTAAATAAATTCTCCAAGCTGCTCTCAACCCCACTCAAGTTGGAACCTCCGTAGTTGTCAAGGAGGGCCTGGCTGATAGCAACAATGGCAGCTCAACATCTCCATCTGGTGGCTCCCTCACGCCATTGTCTCGGTTTTGCAAATGCAGCCCACGGATGTTAGGAAACCAGTAAAAATCTGAAAAACGGGAAAGAAACGGAAACAAAGGACATTAATGGAGTATCTGTTCCACGAATAACCAAGACTGAGTTATAAGATCGTTTAACCTTGCTAACACCAAAGTTGAACTTATCTGTATTAAACTTTTAAGGAGAAATCAGATTGATGCCTTTCAATCCTCCTCCAACTACGTGAAAACACAGGTATGGATGACTCCTGTCTGGAGATCAACACACCACGTTTCGACTTCTTATGGTGGTGCCAAGACGATTCAATGAATTTTCAAGCTATCCTTCCAGAGGTCAGCTAATAAAGAGCATTCCACTTTCCAAAAATAATTTAATATGGAGCACTCTTGGTTAACGTAAAATTCTACCGTTAAGTCTTTGCTCTAATTACAAAAGTGATAAATAGTCACTGTAAAATAATTTTCATAAAATACAAACTCTATGAAAGAAATGAAATTCATGCTTCATTCCACTATGCAGACATACTATACAATTCTAAATTGAGGGATATTATTTACTTTCATCCTTCTCCCTTCTCCTCTGTCTCTCTCTCTCTCCCCCGTACATTATTTTTTAAAACACTTCACTTTTTGGTGCCTGCCTTAATTTGCTACCAGCTCTGTAATATTCTTTTCCTGGTTTTGATCACACATTTTACCTCTTTCATCTAAGATTCAGAAGCAAAGCTTCAATATTTTATTCGGTCTGATCCCACTTTCATATTGCCTACTTCGAGTAATAGGTTCACGCTAAGCCAACGGTTTATGTTTTACTTCTACTTCTCTTCCTTTATAACGCTCAGCACTTGGTTGGCTCTTGTGAGCACACCAACGTATTGCGTGTGAGGTGACTCACGATGGCCATTCAATGGGGTAAGAATAGTCTCTTCAACTCTTGCCTCTGGGACAACTGTATATCCACATGCAAATGAAGGAAGTCGGACACTTAAGTTACGCCGGACACAAAAGTCACTCCCTTAAAATGGACCCAACACCTAGATATACGAGCTAAAATTATAAAACTCGTAGAAGAAAACATAGGAGTAAACCTTCATGACCTTGGATTTGGCAAGGATGTCTTAAATGTCAGACCCAAAGCAACAAAAATATAAAATAGGTAAATTGGCCTTCATCAAAGCGAAACTCTTTTTGCATTAAAAGACACTATCAAGAGAGAAAAGATACCCTACAGAGTGGGAGAAAACATCGGCAAATCGTAGATCCAGTGAGAGCCTAGTTTCGAGAATACAGAAAGAGCCCTTACAGCTCCAAACAAGTGACCAAAAAAAAAAAAAAAGAGCCAAGAATAAAAATCAGTAAATGATCTGAATATGCATTTGTCCAAAGAAATATACAATTGGCCAAGAATCACATGATAATATGCTCAACGTCATTAGTCATTGGGCAATGCAAATCAAAACCACCATAATGACTGTTAACCACCATCGGGATGTCTAAACTTTTTTAAAAAGGAAAAGAAATTGTTGTTGAGAATGTGGAGACATTGGAAGCCTTATCCATTGCTGGGGGGAATTTAAAATGGTACAGTCGCCATTGAAACAGGTTGGTGGTTCCTCAAAAATTTAAACACGTAATTAGCACGTGATGCAGCAATTCCATTCTTAGAGATACACCCCCTCCAAAATTTAAAACAGGCATTCAAAAAGCACAGGTACGTGAATGTTCATAGCAGCACTATTCAAACAACCTAAGCTGGAAGCAACCCAAATGTCCGTGAACTGATGAATGGGTAAACGTACTTCGAAATAGCTGTGCAATGGAATATTATGCAGCCATAAGGAGTGTTACCACGTGGACGAACTTTGAAATCATTATTCTAAGTGAAAGAAGCCAGATACAAAAGGTCACATAATGTGTGATTCCATTTATGTGAAATATTCAGAATAGGCCAATATATAAAGACAGAAGGCATATTAGCGGTTGCCAGGGGTTGCAGGGCACAGGGGACGACGAGTGACTTCTTAACAGCTGTGAGATTTCCTTCGGGGCTGATGCGAACCTTTGGTAAGAAGAGGGAGGTGGCGGTTTCACAATATTGTGAATTTACTTGACGCCACTGAATGGAATGGAATGGTTTGAAATGGTTAACTTTGTAACGTGTGAATTTCAGTTCAAAAAAAGTTTTCTTAGTTAAAGAAAACACCTTTTAGACCAATGTAATAAGAAGTTCAGGTATTTTGAAAAAACTAAGCAATTCATTTTAATGTACTCATTTAAAAATAACATTAAGCCCATTCTTGCTTACATGTAAATAGGCTTTATGAAAAAACTACTATATTTTTGAAAACGAACCAAAAAAAGGATTGAAAGCGTGGCACTGCTTTACATTTTTGCAAATCTATTTAATATCTACCTGAATAGGAAAGGTCTGGATTTTCTTACCTGCTTCCTCATTCCACCCCTTACCATCTGCTGCTTCAGTGGAAGGGAACCAAGTAATCTGGATTCATCGATACCGAGCAGGGGAAGGAAGACCTCACTGGTCCCCCAACAGGGTCTCAGGAACCACCGCCCCCCGCCCCCCAGGGTTCTCAGAATGACCACTGGGCACTGCCAAAGTCCCATGTTCTTTCGTGATGTTAATCAGCCCTTTGAGAGCAGAGATGCTGTTAACTGACTTGACACAAATGGAGACTAGGGGACAGAGACGTTAGGGCACAATGTGGAAGTCACACAGCTGAAGAGAGGCAGAGCTGAGACTCAAACCCACATCCGCCTTTCAGAAAGTCTCTCTGACTTGAAAATCTCGACCATGAATGCACCCCACCATTTGCCCCCCTCCAACACTACACGGGCTAGATGGCAGGTCTTGATCTCTCTCTCTCCGTTGCCCCCGCGCTAAGAACCTGTTGAAAGCCTTCCTTCAGCTGGCACACAGCTGTATAAAAGTCCAGCGCGCCCTTTGCTTGTGGATTGCATGTGGAATGGGAGGCTTTGTCTGGCTCCAGAGTCCGGGATCCAGAGCTGTGCTGGGTCTCTCTGGAGCCCTCACCTCATGAGAGCTGATTTGGGGCCTCACTTGCCAAATCAGCATTCAGTGGCATCACGTTGGTGGCTTGAAATCAGCCATGATGGGAGTATTTACACCATGGAAATACGAAAATCCTGGAAATCGGAACTGCACTCCACCCTCCTGAGGGCCTGTTTCCAGCACGTCACTGCCCAGGACTGACCACAGAAGGGTCGCGGGGAGCTCATCAACACGAGGAAGAGCTGCATCACGGGGCAGCTCTGTCCCCTAATGTGAGTTACTATGAGAGAGGAAGTGTGTGCTGTGTGTCCTGATGATAGGAGCCCTATCTCTGAGCATAGCATTCACTGCCGGTGTGGTTGCAGCAGTACACGCTGAGCACAGATCCCAAATGTGAGAGGTTCAGCTCTACCTCCCTATTGTCCTAGGTCAAGGACACTTTGGGGAGTTGTCTCTCTTCTCAGGAGTCATGGTGTCCTGGCAGCCCTGTCAATACACATTTGTCCAAGTGTAGACCCAGAGTCCTTTGGTCCTGCCACAACCTGCGTTTCTGGTTTGCCTTCCTCTGACCTCTAGGTGCTTTATCCTCACATGTTTCCGCTCTCCAGGCCATTTTAAATTGACGAGGAGTCCTTGGACCCCACCTGCACAAATACACCTGGCTTCATGTGTCAGGATGATGGGGTTGAAAGGAGGTCGCTAACGGGAACTGGATCCTAAGTGTGTGTGTGTGTGTGTGTGTGTGTGTGTGTGTGTGTGTCTCAAGGGAGAAGAGAAGCTGTCTTCCTTTTATTTTATTTCTTCCATAAGTCATTTTGTGAAAACTCCCCTGCCCCAAACGCCTATTCCGTGAGAACATCAGGTATTGTCTCTAACATTTCATTCATTCATTCATTCATTGGATTGGTCGGGGAGTAATTGGCTGAGAGCGAGATCCACGCTCTGCATCTGAGGATGTATTAGTACTTCCTGGTTTCCATAGAAAGCCAACATCAGGGAGAACGTTTTGATGACACTCTAGTTTCCGTGACAACCGAGGTAAGCCATTCTTTCCTGGCGGCAGAAACATTTAACAAGGATATTTACAGACTGGAGAGATGGAGTAACTGTAGAAACATCGAGACTAGTCGGTGTCTGCTATCAACGTGAGTGTGTGTGTGTGTGTCTGTGTGTGGTGCCAGTGTGTGGTCTTTAGTTGGACATTAGGAGCTCTAATTCCTCTTGTTTTGTAAGAGGAGGGTGGCAGCTCATCCTGTGGGGGGGGGCTAAGGTGGCTGAATAACCTGTCCTACCCCAGGCACGTTTCAGCGTCCTAAGGTTGTTGTTGTGTGAGGGCATTGTCACCTGAGCTGTTGGAAGCAGAGGTCCCCGAGTATTTCTCCTCGTACGCCTCTGCTCAACAACATTGTCTCATGAACCTCTGAAGATGTGGGTTTACTCTTGCACACCTACTTACAGTAAAGTTACTGTGTGTGTGATATGAGAGGGAAAATTTGAAGTCAGCGAATGAGACGGATGGGTAGGATTGGAGGGTCTAACGTAGCCTTGTGTGACCCAGGGGATGATATCGTGCTCACCCTGAGCAGCTGACACACGTGAACTAAGAATCATGTTCTCTAAGAGACGAATTTCCTGTTATCACACCACTAATTACAGTTGGGTAAATTGAATTCAGTCGGTAAATGACTCCTTCTTTATTCTATAAGTGTGAAAAACAAGCTTTTTCCACAAAGGTTCTGAGTTTTGCTGTTGCACGTTTGGAAGTGGATGCTGTTGACGTTGAGGGTTGGCGGTTCTTTTTTTCTGTGTTTATTGTATTACGAAAGAAAAGCATAGCATTTACGGGACGTACTGTTGCATCCTCTGTCAGGGAAGTGCCTTCAGCAGAAGCGAGTTCTAGGTGGAGGATTTCCGCGCCTCTCAGCTCCAGTCCTACGCGCTGCTGCGTGGTGCCGAGACCAGGCTCCGACAACCCCATTTCCCCTCTACCGTCTGACTGCCTGTGAGGGTCCGCCAGTGGCGTCTCCAGAGGGCGACAGGAAGTCTGGAAGTGAGACCGCTGGCTGTACCTTCCTCCCTGCTCCCGCTCCTCTCAGGGTCACCCCAATAAATGGCCCTTCGCACAACAGGGAGAGGGACATGCGATTTTGTGATTTCAGTAGGGACAGTCGGCCCATAAAGTGGGTTTCCTCCAAACTCCAAGGACCCTCTCCATCACTACCTGCCCAGCACCAGCAGACTGGTGAACTCTCTCCTAAGAGATAGGGATCCCAGGTTGGGGGGGGGGGGGCCTCCTCTCAGACCCTGACGCTGTGGTGCGAGCTCATCAGTTTTCCACATCATTGTTGGGAGGGGTCTTGGGTTTCATGGGTCCCTCCCTTGACCTCCTTTAGAAGCTGCACAGTGCTGGGCAGCCCCTTTTCCTCAGAAGTCTGGGCCAAGCTCTGAGGTCTTCTCCTCCGAGGTCATGGCTTCTCAGAACCACCATGTCTTCCCTTGGTTTTTCCAGAGCTACACGTGCCCACTCTTCCTACCGTGGCGCCCTTCTCCTTGTCTCATTGCTCTCTTTTTGCCTGTTTTGGTCTCCAAATGATTCTGTCGAGCTCTCTCTAATTAAAAGGGTAAGAGGACACTGCCTAATAATCATGTTTGTTTTTCTCTCTTTGCTCTTAAGGTCTTTCCTTTCGCTTTGGTTTCTGCAAGTTTTACTGTGCTGTGCCTAGACCTGTTTGTATGTATGTGTGTTTCCGTGTGTGTGTGTGTGAGAGAGAGACAGAGTCAGAGACAGAGAAAGAGACAGACCGAGAGAGCATGTATTATACTTGTGGTTTGGCACATCAACTATACCATGTTTTTCTTCATTTTGGAAAATTGTTGGCTACCGTTCCTCAAACATTCTGCAACCCCTCTCTCTCTTCTTGGACTGCAACTGAATATCTCTTACGTGGTTAGGTATATACGTTCTAATAATGAATATTTCCTTCGATCGATATAAGATATACCTCAAACACGTTTCAAATATATTCTCATTGCGTTCTATGCAATGGTTTGGTACCGTTTTGCTACACTTGCTTTCTTTTCGTTCACTCACATCCTGTACTTCACTTCACATCTCCTTGGGATCTTTATATAAGATTTTGGTGCATATGTACATATAAATGTGTCCTCCCTGTGATATTTTACAGCATGGCTTGAAAAATAACGTCTACCCTCTCCACCACTTCCATCCTTGTTCCTCTTCTCTTTTCGATGGAGCCATGTCACGACATTTCTGTTTACCATTGCAGACTTTTCCCTTGCATTTACATGTCTTTCGTATGCTAGGATAAAGTATATAGCATTGGTCTCCATACGAATGTGTGTTTTGCGTGAACTATGTAACTTGTACTTAATTGGTCTCTAGTCAAATTTTTTCCGTCTGCATTTTTTCTATGCCGGTACATGAAGGCCTGCATCAGCCCTTGTGCTGGATACGTAACATACCCTTGTCGGCTTAGAATGTGACTTCGTTAGCCTTTCCCCGTGGATAGCAAGCACCTGGCATAGGTCCAATGTGGTTGTGATGACCTACAATGCAATAACTTATCTTGTGAACGAGGGCAACGCTCTCTCCCCGTGCACGACGCAGGGAAATCAACAGGCTCTGAAATACGCATCTCGTTCACTCTCCTGGGTGGTAGTAATTATGGAGGTCTCACCTGCAGGAAAGAGGAGGCTGCCCTTGACTTTTTATCGCTCAGGCGTGCCTGATTTCGTCAGTGATATACAGGATATCGGAGGTCTCCCTGTGGCAAGTAATAAGGACTGGAGGGATAACAGAGCATCTTTGAAAGAAAGTCGGCCTACTGGATGGGAGGAGCCACCTGAGTTTCCAAAAGGAATGGGAGGGAACTCACTCTAGTCTTAAAATAAGGCCCGGATGAGAAATCCCGACCTTTGCCTTGTTCTTTGCTCAAGTGCTCATGCTTCTCCTTCTCTGAGTAGGTGGCTCTGGAAGCTGTGCACCTGCAAGAACGGGTGCTGTGACTGACCGCTATTTGTTAGGGAAAACGGGGGGCAGAGCTTGGTAATTTGAAGGTGTATGTGTATTTAGAGTCACAGCTGGTCATTTGTAGGTGAGAAACAAGCCCAAATTTTTTTTTATCCCACTGAGAAAACTGAAGGCAGTTCACGATTTTTCAGTTTGTGATGTTTGGCATTTAAACATTTTATACAAAAGCGACCCAGATCTCCGAGTAGGAGTGACCTCTATGAATTTCTGGAGCGAGTGGCCAACACAAGGGGGAAGGTTTAGAGATATCAATTCTCACTCAATCTTGCCACAAATGGAATTCAACCCGAACGAGACCTTTAAAAACTTTTTAAAAAGTCACGTGTGAAAGCTCATGTCGAATTTGTCTGGCAATGGAAAGGTGCAGACATAGGCAAGAATGTATTTTCTTTGTAACTGAAATTACATAAAATGTGCCTTTATAACGAGAAAGACAACTGCCAACCCATCCCTTTATGGAAATACACGTTTTGTAGACAGTTTAAAATCACAAAACCTACAGCTCAAAAGAAGCCCCAATAAATAGGTAGGAATTGTAGGGAGGGGGCGTTGGGGTGAAGAGGAGAGAATTCCTGCCTCTGGGGAGTGGGGGGTGGGGGAGCGATATCAAGAAAAGTGCCCTCATTTTGAGACAACACCTTCAGAGGGTTCTTTTCTTTTCTTTTCTCTTCAGAAGTGATTACAGCCCTCACTGGGGAAAGGACTTAAAGCATAGAGCTTCCAAAAGAGTTCTTCCAAAACTCATGGCTGTTTATTGGAGAAGTAAATGCTCATTCTCATCAAGTCCTTTCTTTCCTCAACCTCAGAGCAAATGGAATAGAACAAATGTTATCCTAGGACTTAAAAATGGAAGCTAGTCCACTTGAGGACTTTATTTCCTGATGGTCTGAAGCTGACAGTGGAGTTATACAGATCGGAGAGTTGCTATTTACACCGTCTCCCTTCTACTTCACTCTGTTTGTTCTCACCGGGCAGCAATGTTTGACTTGATTGTGAACTAAAATACTGGACACATTTTCATACCCAAGCCCTCTGAGGATTTGGGGTTACTTTAAAAGTTAGTTTGGTGCTGTTCAACATTCTATTTCGAGCACATTGTTCCCGGCGTGCAAAAGAGGATCAATATGTACGTCCCATTATCTCTACCTAGTGTCTTTCTGTCCCTCTCCCTGCATATGTCTGTGGAGGGAGAGAGGAGAGCTGCACTCCCATCGCTACACGATATGAAAAGAAAATCAGCTGCAAGATCACGTACCAATCTTCAGTGGCAGATATTTGGGCAATGGGCCAAAGCATAGGATGAGAGGACCATTGAATATTTGATATTTGCATTTAACACCCTTCCCTTCGGATTCTCTCTCTCAAGGATGCATTGCTTTAGCGACCAGAAAAATAACTGTAATTGATATTTTGGCTGTCTGTCGAAAGTACTCCGTTAAAGTGTTTAATACTTGAAAAGGTGTACGCAAATGTGAATACAAGAGACTATTCAAATAGCTTGTACAATTTTAGAAGAGACCTTTTTAATACCTTACAGAACACATGATAGCGTAAATAGAACACAAATTCTAGACCCCGCGGACTCATATATTCGCAGTAAGCATTCCTGGGCGCTTAGATTACTGATGCTTAATATTTTCCCTACGTTCTAATTTTAAACGTCTTTTTGGATTTCCCACGTGTGTTTTTAAAATAAGGAATGAAAAGGAGCTGAAAACAACACCTACAGTGGAAGCAGAAACATTTGCATGCACATGTAAAGGCAGAGAGCATGGATTACATGCATCAATAACACGCATCTTGGGGCTCTAACGTCACTCTGAGTGTGACTGTGTGTGTGTGTTCATGTGTATCTGTGAGAGAGTAAGTGTGTGTGCGCGTGTGTCAAGTGTGTGTCTTGCAGTGTGGGCAGCTATCTGGTCAGGCCCTCCTGTTTTGTGTGATGGGCTGTCGGGTCCTGCCGCAGGGAGACTGCAGCAGCTGAGTCACCTGTTTTTCCTTCTCCCTTTTGTTCTGTGTCCTCACATGACACATGTGCTCTGAGAGCCGGTACACTGAGTTCTCTAAAGCAGAGGACGCGAAAGCTGCATGATCGTGCACCCTGGTCCAAGAAAAAGTTTGTGTGGGTTACGCCCAAAGGATGTATATTTAGTCATCACGCATTTCATATTATGAGCACGTGCAAAGTCGCACACACGTGCATTTACTAGGGAAATAATATTTGATATTATCAAACATACCGTTTGAAACAGATAGTGGGTGAGCTAAAATCTAGAAGCGAATTGTAATACGTATTTGTACAGCGTATACAGAAAAGTAGAACCTATTAACAGGGTATTTCTGGGTGGGAAGAGAGGAATTGAGAGAACAATCGCATCTTCTGCATGACACACATCTGAATGTTTGAAACTTAGAGTTCACTAGAGTTTTTAAATATCAGGGAAACCACATTGTAAAGAGATTCGCAAAAGCGATGTGAAAAACAGGCACTGACGTGAAACGGTGATCAAATATGCTCTTGAGTGAAGAACTATAGTCCTAGGTAATACGTGCAGGTATGTGTCTATGGAGGCACAACAAATGTGTGGGAAGCCCATACACCGTCAAATCGAGGGTGAGCATCTCTAGTGTACTGTCTCCCGTCGGTATCTCCCGACCCGTTTTATATTCCCCGCAAGCCCATTTAATGTTACTTCAGAAGCACGAGAAAAGGAAAACACTAACATTATAGACCCCATTTTTGTTTCACATGCACACACAAACACACACAAGTTGCTATCGTTCAATCTGTGTGCCCAAGGCAGACGAAGGCTGTCACGAGAGCAGTAGTTCCCGCTGTTCTGAAATAGGAGGGACTGACACAAAGTAAGTAGCTTAACACGGAAATGTTTTTGAAATGCAAAAGAAGGAGGAAAAGAAACATAGCATCTACCTTACGCATGAGATTTAACTAGTATTTCTGTTCCAGAATAGCATGCATTCCAGAGTTGGGGAAAGGAAAGTGATGAATCAATCCCCATTTCATTGGCTTAATTTCCTATCTGCTTTTGGATTTTTCTAGATTAACATTAGAGGTGCAGAGGTCCTGGGTATCTACATTTGAAGCCGTTTGACCCCTGGAAGAACAGTGCCCTTCAGAAGCACGGAGCAGGGTAAAGGGTCTGCCGGGCAAGCAGTTGGAGTGTGCGAATCAACAGATCCAGCTACCAACAGGACCACACCTACCACGATCCACGTGGCCTTGGTAAGACTTTCCCATTTCACTGAACATTTCATTTGCAGTCATTTCATGTTGACGTTTGGGGTGTGGTTGGTTTTGCTCCTCGCTCTACGGCCGCTTCTTGACACAGAGGTGGTGCTGGGGAAAAAGCCTTTGAAACCACCCTAGAGAAACGAAGAAGTGCTGGTCGCAGCCAACGGCCCGTGCCTGCAGCAATCCTTGTGAAGGGTGGCACCAGCAACCACCCTGATGATCTTCATGAACCTCTGAATTCCAAGCTCAGGCTCTTGAACACGACGTTGTGCTGACACCTCGTCCCTGTAGGTCAGAGATCACCTCTGGGTTCCTTGGGTGCGCTGGGCGGCGCCAGCACCCTCGAAAAGAAAAACTGACATTCCCCTAGGATGAGCCCCGAGGAGCCCAAAAGGCACAGGAGGTCCAACAACCAAAATGAGACCCTGGACATGACACCCACCTCCCCACACAGATGCTGTTTAATATGCAGCAGGAACAAATGGGGCAAGAGGTTGGGTTGGGAGGGTTGCAAAACTCCTCAGGTATCTTCAGGAACTTTTTCCCAGATACTTGCCATGTTTCTAGCCCCCTGTCTGATACACACGCTTTATATTTCTTTATCTCTCATCGATTCTCACTGACCAACATTCTTCTACTTTCACAGGAGGAATTTCTTTCTGACACTCTTCTTCTTTTCCTTTCCCATATTCCAGTATTCCCCAGCATAGTCCGTCCAAAACACGAGTTCCAGCGTCCCTGGGAGACTCAGGGGGAGAAGGACAGGCCAGACAAGCTGTGAAACCTTCGCAGTCCTCGGCAAAAAGGTGTGGGGAAGAACGCTGTTCTAGGCAAGATCTGCCGCAGCTGCAGGTATGACAGCCAGACCCCTCCACCTCTATGAATTACCTCTTGACAGGAAAGGCGAATCATAATGGAGGCCACATATGTCCTCTGCAACTGGAAAGGCCTCTTCTGGCCAGCAAAGGTTTTATCCAGATCCGGGATCCCGCCAACAAATAAGAGAAAAAAGGCACTTTCTCTAGAAGTTCAAATACTCTCAGTCGATGAAAAAATTAGAGTGAAAAGCACAGACATAAAGATCCTAACTGAGTCTCAAATTGAATCCATGGCCTCCTCGCTAGTGGCCCAGTCGGAGGCCAGTGTCCCACCGGGAGAGGAAGCGGCCTACAGAAGCGCCCTTACAGTGGCCTGGGAGATTCTGAGTGAGAGAGCAAATCTGGGTCGGGCAAGAGCGTTAGACGATCCAGAGACCACCACGCTGTCTCAGAAGAGACTGCAAAGGCCATCTCGTAGAAAGTATTGGAAGCCCAGAGGGAACTTACCGAGGAGCCTTGGGAAAAGCGAAAACCCCAAATCACCGTGGGTACGTTCAGAGAGGGAGGGTAGCAAATCACAGGTGCACACAGCCGTCGCTCGTATTCCCAGGGAAATGCGAACAACATCCTCACAAAGCTCCAGCGTGTGCCCAAACTTCCCGTCACTTTCAGAAGATGACCGTGAGAGAGAGGGCAAGGAAAAGAGGGACAGCTCAAGAGTTATGTCCCTGCACTGCACAGCCAAGGAGGAGGGTGCAGGTGCTCAAGACGGAGGCGTCCTTCCATCTCCGCCACCAGGTTTCATCCTCACGGTGCCCAAGGCTCTGCAAGAAGGGACGCACAACAGCGGCCCAAAGACCCTGGCTGTCTCTTCTGAATGCTCTACCTTCTCCGGGGGTGTTGAGGACCCTGGAGAGGGTGCCTGGAAGCCAGGCTTGGAAGGTGCGGCAGCAGCCTCCAGTGCCCCTAACCTGAGGCTGCGTTGTTCACTCCGTCTGGCAAATAGAAAAAGGAAGCTTCAGGGACCAGAGTCTGAGAGACGACTGCAAGAACTTCGACCTTTAGTCGACTCAAAGGCGGTTAATCCCACCACGACTCCTAAAAAAGATGTCGGCAAGGAAGCAGGACAACCGACAAGCATGGCCCTCCCTCGGGAGCCGGGTCCCATTGAAAGAGGAATGATGGTCTGGTTTAAATTTCAAAATCACCCATTTTGGCCAGCAGTGGTAAAGAGCGTCAGCCAAACAGAGCAGACGGCAAGGGTGCTTTTGATAGAGGCAAACATGCACCTCGAAAAGAGTGGCATTCAAGTTCCTCTTCGAAGATTAAAGCACCTGGATTGTAAAGAGAAAGAGAAACTGATAAAGAGAGCCAGGAAAGCGTATGAGCAAAGTGTGAACTGGTGCTTCTCCCTGATTTCCCACTACAGAGAGGGGCTCGGTCGCGGGTGTTTTGCGGGCTCCTTCCTGGACTATTACGCTGCTGACGTCAGTTACCCAATCAGGAAAGCCATCCAAGAGGGCACTCTGGAGATTGATTTCCCACGGGTGAATTACGACGACCTGGACGATTCTGAGGAGGAGACATCCCTGGGCGGGAAGAGGCCCTGCAAGAAAATTCTCCCTGACCGGATGAAGGCTGCTCGGGACCGAGCCAACCAGAAGCTAGTGGACTTCATCGTGAAAAGAAAGGGGGCTGACCATCATCTTCTGGACATCGTCAAAGGCAGGAAGCAGTCCAGGTGGCTGGCATCATTTCTGAATTCAAACAGGTACGTGATCTGCGTTGAAACGTACCTGGAGGATGAAGACCAGCTGGATGTGGTGGTAAGACATTTACAGGAAATCTACAAGCAAATGGACAAGAGAGTGCTGAATCGGATCAGAGATGACCGAGTGAGTTTTGTTGTGGAAGTTCTTCTGCCAGAAGCAATCATCTGTTCAATTGCTGCACTTGATGGATTAGATTATAAGGAGGCAGAAGAAAAGTACCGGAAAGGGCCACCCGTGCATTCCCGGGAAAAAGAACTATTTGATAAAAACCTCTTAAAGGAAATGAGAAAGAGGTCAGCAAGAAGGAGCAAGGCTCAATAACTCCCCCCGCCCCCCGTGCCCACACCTCAGCAGGGAGGCCTCCTGTATATACCCTTACCGAGAAACCCTGTCTTTACGAAATCTGTGACCCTTCCATTCTCTATGGCACGTAAATACGTTCTGGAAAGTCGAGACCTCGGGAACGGGCTGGATTCATTTTGGACCCATCCCTAGCATTTGTGGGTGTCACGGTCATCATCATTTCTTGCTCCCAAGCTCTTCACAGACTAATTTGTTAAAATATTGCAAACAGTTGTATTTCCTTCTACTTGCCCGGATGTGTCTATCGTCCGGGTGTTTTCATGACATTGCTTTTGGCTATACTTCGTATTTTAATACGGGACTCCCATTCTTTTGTTGCACGAAAAGGCCCCGGTGTCAGATATTAAGCAACGGTCATTTTTAAAATCCAAGATACACTTTTACGGAAACATCACATCGACTTGTCATCCTTTTCATGATACATCGGTATAAATGATTGAATTCCTTTTTAAGACAGCTCCTGAATTTTCCCTGCCATGCTTATTTGCTTGGAAAGATAGACTCAAGAGGTAAAACCAATGACAGAGATGTTTTCTGTCTATCATCACTACCTTCAGATGGTTCTTGGAGAGGCAATCTGAAATCCAAACAAAGTTAATGGATCATCTGCATGTAGTCCACGTGTGGGTGAGTGAAATCTCAGCACACAGTCAACATTTTGTCGTCAGCCTGCATAAGACTTTTAACTCTACGTTTCCCCGAGATTCCATTGATGGGAATAGCTCTTCTTCAATGGCTGAATGGTTCCCCCAAACAGACAGGCTTCTGGCTGTCTTCCTAACTGACCGAATCCCCTACATAGAGCCCACTGTCCCCTGGTGGAAGACAACTGGAGTCATCGTGTACACAGTCAAGCTACTCTAGACCCGGGAGTCCAGGCTGACTGCTAGGAGCCCATCCAGATGGCATAAATTGTAGGAAAGCGAGCACTTTGTTCTGGGCCTGTGTCCCCTGGAAAGCAGGCATGTGTCTCAAACCAAGCAAGCTTTAGCTTTTGACTTCTTCATCAGCTAGCTCCGACAGATTCCATCAGTATAAATGCAGACGGGTAAGTCATTCCAGGCTGCCTGAGCAGCAGATGGACCGGGATCTGGGAACTGGGAATCGGGCTACAGAAAAGTCTCCATTCGGCTGAGTACGGCTGTTGTCGGGATACAATGAAACGTATGTAATTCAAAGATAGATTCTGAAGCCATGAACTGTTTTCCTAAGTCGAAACAAGATTTTTTTGAGGGGGGGAAAAAAAATGTTAGAAAAGCTAGTTTACTTTTAAAAACTGGATGTGAAAATAAACACGAAAGGTTTAACCTGAACCCGAGTGCATTTTGATTCTTGGAGGGAGTCAACAGCCACTCACGGGCCCGTGTTATGTGTTCACAAGGCCGCGTGACTTTCTTTTCTGGGTAAAATTTGCAAAGGCTAGCTGTTTTGATTTACAACAAAACCATTGTGTCTTTCACCTCAAACGTCTGCTTCGCCGTACTTCAGATGGTACAGCTGCGTAGTTGAAATATCTAAATATATATGTATATGTATATTATACAAAATTTTGGAATTTTGACGGATTCATTGTCATCTTTTAAGGTTTATTTATTCATGGATTTTCTTCTCATTCTAAATAAATGTTCACTTCCACGCGCGTTTTCATAATTTTAGAAGAGGGACTTCCAAATTGTATAAGCTTCAGGCCCAACAGCACCCTCTTTGGAACTCTGCCTGGGAGAGACCACGGCTCCTGGGGCATCCTGCCTGGGCCAAGCCACAAGACAGCCTCAGGGTCGTGGGAAGTATTTGGAAACACACCACCTCGACGCCTTATGTGGGCCTTGTGCACGGGAACAGCACACTCTAATTCCTCTATAACATCGTGTCTCTCTGAGGCAAATGTATCACTCAACTTCAGCTTTCTCATGCAGCCACATCTATCTCTACGTTCTAATATTTCCCTCACCACCTCATTCATGCATTCACTCATTCACTCCTTCATAGCACTGTGAGCCAGTAGAGCAAGTAAGATGTGGTTTAAGACTCCGCTCTGAGGATAAATTTCAGGTGCCGTAGAAAGAAGACGACAATCTTGTGACCCAGGTGACAATCTAATTTCTAAGACGGCTGGGATGGACTATTTCATCTTCTTAGTGAGAAATATTTATCAGCATCATGGACTGACGGC